TTTTTAATTATCCAGAATCAGAAAAAAGAGCAACCAAGCTAAACCATAGACACCCTAGTCGATGAAGTTGAAACTTCAGCACCAAATAAGTGAAACCCAAATAAAATTCTTGAATCAGTTAAGAAAAAGTAAATCTAAAATTAATATAAGGAGATTGAGAGAGTACCTGAGCGAGCTTTGCCTTGTAAGCATAATCATTAGAGGCAGTGAAACTAAGTGAAGAAACTGAGGAAGAAGAGACTCTGCTAATAAAAAAAGGTTAGATCTTTTAACATCGAGAGGATTCCAAGAAGCGAACGGGGAGAAAAGTGGCTTCATTTTTTTGAGTTTCGAGTGATGTAAGAAAATTTAGAGGTGAAAGAGTGAGCGGTGGTCGGTGACGGTGAGGGGAAGAGGGAAACGCGCCGCCACCACAAAAAGTTGGAGCGAGTTGCCAGCACTAGGATTTCAAATTGTGATCGTGGTCGTGTCTTCGGTCATTTCGAATTTATTATAATTGTGGTCGCGGGCGTTATTGGGTGCTATTACGGGTATAGCGAGTAACTCAGAGGGCGACGAAATCGTTATTTTACAGGCACTAGTAGTATTTCCATGATGATTATATGGTGTTGTAGGCCGGTGAAGTGCCAGCGGTGATGAGTTTTGCCAGCTGATTTTTAACTTCATATGTTTTTCTCTAAATTGATGGATATAAAATAACTTATGAGAGGAGAGCCAAACAAAAATTTAGATGAGGAGAATTAGGGGTGAATACTCGATTAAATTGAGTCAAATTTATATATAATCGAGCCAAATTTATATATAATCGAGCCAAATTTATATGTAGACATGTGATATGTATATATCATGCATAGAGTTAAATAATTCAACTTAAAATTTAAAAATTAATTTATTAATTATTAAAAATTTCAAGTTACATATATTTTATTTATCACTCAAATTTTATTTAAAAACTTTTAAGATAAATTTATAAAATTACAATTCAAACCAAATAAAAAATTTAAAAATTTTCAAGTATAGTCTAATCTTACTTTTTTTTTTTTACAAGGTAAAGGCAAATTGTGTCTAGGTTACTTCTTCCTTACACACGATTGATCTCACCTCTTCAGGTGGTTCTAATAGCTCATGCATTAACTGAGGAAGTGACCCAGCATATTTCACAAGTTCATCCGCTACAAAATTGTTGTACCTCTTTATGTTTCTGATCTCCACAATCCAATCCCGATCCATGTATTCATCAATGTGTTCCATGATTACCTTCTTCCTTGTACTGGTTTTATTATGTATAAAGTTCCTAGCAACGCTGCTATCAACTTCTATTAGAACCATCATCGTACCTAACTTCCATCCTAACTGGAGACCTTCATAGACTCCCTGAGCAACACCCTATCTTTTTGGAAAAACCCCTTGGTCATTGCCCCATATGATTTCTTATAACTCTTCCATACGTTGCTTTCCCGTGGTCTTATTCCTTGCTCCGTCCGTGTTCACTTTAACCTAGGGTACCTCTGGTGGCCGCCATTTCTCCACATTATTCTGTAGATTCTGATTCTCTTTGCACTTCGTAGGGTTTTTGCAATTATTTATTTTATTTACTACTCTGTTAACTCTCTCTAGGATGGTCTCATGTTCTATAAACTCTGGGTCGAATATTCTTTTGTTCCTCCTCTCCCACAAGGTCCAAAGCAGCATACTGAAGAGAGTAGGCCAATCATTTTCTTCACTTTCGACTTTATACTTGTTGCTCAGGGTATCTTTAAACCATAGTTGCACATTGTTACTCAGGAACTCCTCTAACTTGTTAGTTTTGATCAGTTGTTTTCCAAATGATAATGGTTAAGAGACATCCACGAAATATGTGGTTGATGTCTTCCACTGGGTCCCTGAACTTTAAGCAGCTACTATCAGTGGTCATATGACTTCTAGTTCGTTCAGCGTTGGTGAGAAGTCTCACATTGCATACAATCCATAGGAATACTTTTATTCTCGGCAAAGTTTGGTGCATGTTGAGAATCCCTATATCTCCTAGTTTTGATCAGATGAGTTACCGATTATTGCTTGGTAGGTCCTTCGCACCGTGAATAGCATGTTCTTCATTCTTTTTCATCCGAATGTGTCTCTCATGTCTTCTCTGATTGGTGGGAGGATAGCCATAAGGTGGTATTGTGCTTTGTAATCAATTAATTGCCCCAAAATATTCCAGTTGACTTCGATCATATCTCTAACTTTAATGTTGGTCATGCCAATACTATTCGACATAGTGCAGTGATTACTAAGGGATCCAGTTCTGGAATCCAATCATCGCTCTAAAATTTAATTTGCCTACCATTTCCAAGGTTCAATGTGATATTACTCTTTCATGTTGGCCATAGTTTGCTTAAGCTTTCCCATATACGAGAGCGTTGACATCTTTGTATGGATTCAGGGAGCACCTCAATGACTTTAGATTTACTACGTAGGATTTAAACACATATCTTACATAGTTGCAACCACTTTGAAGCCTAACTTCATAAAAAAAAAAGCATTATTCTGTCTCATTTTCACTTAAAGCCAAGGCCTCCATTTTTTTTTGTGTTTTTGCATAATTGCGTCCATTTTACAAGGTGGATACCTCCTTCTTCACGGAATCTCCACCAAATGAAGTTTCTGACATGTCTCTCAATACCATTGCAAATGCAGTTGATAACTCTCCAAAAGAGTTTAGGATCCTTTTACCTGGTTTAAGTTTGGTCTTTAGCATCATTAAGAGCATATTAGGATAATTTGTATATAATTTTCACATTATTTGCATCATAAGAATTAACTGAGGTGCTTTGGGTTGGTTTTGGTTTCATTGTTGAAAAACGATACGTTGATGTTGTAGCATTGCTTGAAGCTGCAGATAATGTTGTGCAGAGGCTGTAACAATCGATGACTAATCAGGCGGTTAAGGGAACCTTCTGAAATGGACAGTTGGAAGGGACAATTTTCAAATGGTCAAAAATACCTGAAATGTGGAAAAAATTCATTGGTTAAAGGACAAAATCCTTAGCCTATAAATTGGAGAGCTCTTTGCATCCTTTGGTATCATATTTTCTACCTCCAATTATTTTTCACCACCACTTTCGATCAGCCATGATAGCTTAAGTCCCTCACCGGAGAGCGCTACAGCAACCTGGGAGCTTTGTCGACTAGCATCGATGGTAAAGAAGATTCATTTTCTACTCTTACTCTTTGTTAGATATAGGGAAGTAGCAAGTAGACTTGACTGTTATTTAATTTCTGTGGACCAGCATTTCGAGCTGGAGAAGTGAATAAAACAATACGAGTAGTAGCGATCCAAGAAATTAATTACCTGCAGAGGCTAAGATCAGTATTGGCAACGGTTTGTTATAGTCATAAGAAAAATTTTCCGGTCTCTGAAGCCATCGTTCGAGTCTTTAATTACATTATGGATACTTCTTTTTTTGGCTTGTTCACATGCTTATCGGTTGAAAGGTTTATGCGGGACATACGGGATATCAAAGAACAACCTTTTCTAATCCATCATCTCGATCTGGATTTAAGTTACGTTTTTGTCAATAGAGAAGGGTTGAAAAAGAAAGAAACTGATCATTTTTTTTAATGAAAATCAAGGCTTTTTTTTAAGTTTTTGATAAAAATGGAAAGTGCTACGAAATTAATATAGGTAGGGCCTGTGGGTTTATTAAGCATAGTTTTCATTAATTTATACACAGATGAGATGGACCGAATGGTCTCTGTGATACTTCCGCGGGACTGGAAAGACTTTTGGTACCAGACTATGAACTTTGTTGTGGAATACTTTCAATTATGTTTTATGTTTTGACTTTGTGTTATATGCTGCTACACTTTTAAAGGTAATTGTAGAAATACAATTATCTTCATGAATGTTTATTGATGATATTTAGAGATGAAAATCAATAATAGATGTACTACTTTTGTTCAGCGTTGGTTTGCTGAAAAACAAATTTCATGTGAGATATATGCTGCCCAATATCTAGCACTATTAATTAGGGGTGTAAAAAACTGACACGGCCTGTAAAACTGACTGAAATCGACTCGAGTTAAAACTGTTTTTGACATGCACTGTGACGATCCGAAACCGACTTAAGTCGGAACTGGTGTTGACCTGAACCCGAGTTGAACCTGGAAATTGTGGATATGAACCGGACCTGCATCCGACTTGAACCCGAATTGAACCGAAAATATGATACTCGAATTTGAACTGCATCCGACTAATATGAACCCGAACCCAAGATTGACCTGGTAAATAACTGGTATTACCTGACCTGTTATGAACCTGACCTGTAATTGACTCAACCTGTAAATGATCCGATATGTTGTTAAAGTGATATGATATTATCCAGACTTATAAGTGAAGTTAGAATTAATATAATTATGTTATTTTAAATTTATAATAAACTTATGATAATTAAATTATTATGATAATTAAATTAATATGATTACTTTTTGAAATTTTATCATAAATTATTATGATAATCAAATTAATATGATTACTTTTTTGAAATTTAGTTTTATATTAATTATAATTTGTATATTATAAATTTGATTTTTATGTTAATTCCAATTCATAAATTTCTTTATATTTCTTATATAATAAATCTTATTTAAAATCACTAAATTAAATTTAAATATTATCTTATTAAACTTGATTTTATTAAATTATATTAACTAAGTTAAAATATTCATAAATCTAATTTACATTTAATGTAAAAATTGAATAATAATTTAAGTAAACTTAACTTGATATTTTAAAATCAAAATATATTAATTGAAATAGATTTATTAAATATTAAAAATTTGAATAACATTACAAATACTAAATAAATATTTATAAATGAAGGTAATTTTATTACACTTGAAAATACTAAAATTACAATAAAATCAACTAAACAAAATAAATGTATGTTGAAATAAATACTCTCAGATCTTATAGCTAATGTTTACAAGGCTAAAAAGCCTAACTATACTACCAGAAATATCATCATCGAGCATATACCTAAATACTGCCAACATGTTTAATTATGGGCAACTTTCTAGCTTTAAAAGCTAAAATGCCACCAACATAATTAAACATGAGTAACTATTTAGATAAGAAATTATAAGGTTCTAAAATTGATTTAAGTCGGACCAACAACAATAATTTACATGGCATCAGTGAGTAATAGACAACATCAACCGACAAGCATCAATGTACCAATTCAGCAAGCATCGTTGCATCGATTCAGCAAACATCCTGCATTAAGAAAGCATACAATCAGTGGTAAAGCCAAAGGGAATTCGATGGCTAACAGTGCCAAACATTTTCGACTTTACCAAACTCTTACAAATATCAAGTAGAAGCAAGCGATAAGTTGAGGTATTCTCTACAAGACTACAATGGAGATATTGGAATTAGCCGTGTATCTCTAGGTTCAACATCAGCTCGACTCGACAGACAGGACATACATATGCCTCAATGATAGAATACTCGGAGTGAAACTAAGAGCAACATTTGACAAGCCATTTTCTAACTAATCATAAACATAAAATGGAAATAGTTTCCGGCCATTGTCTGCAACAACGAAGTGTTATTATATTATTCGACTTGAGCTTGTCTTTAAAGGCATAGCTCAGTTCTGATACGAAGAGCAGTATAAGTCGGTTAATATAAGAATGAATTAAAGTCGGTTAATATAAGAATGAATTAAACATGATCATCTAGCACCAGAGGAAGAAGTTTCCTGCAGCAATCGAGTAAGAATGAACATAAGAATTGACTATGCAAAAAAATTATGCATTCTAATCTAATGTTGTCAATTACCTCAATCTGCTCATGGCTCAACACAATTTCAGCCAACTGAATGTTTCCACTAAGCCTAGCTGCCTTATCGGATGGCAATAACGAAAAACCGTCTACAAGTTTCACACATTTGAGTCCCCATTTGACCATTAGGAACTCAATAAGATGATGACCGCTGCACATTATTAGTCAGTATAAAGTACAAACAACTAAAGAACTCGATTTTGGAGAACAAGATAACAGTCCCCATCATAATTTCAGTATTGAATACTAGACACTCTGGACCAAAATATATCAGAATACAAACGAGACAGAATAGGAAAAAGAGTACCTTCTATTATGATAAGTTGTTATGAAAACCGAGCCTGGATTATTTTGAAACAGAAATGTCACAGTAGCAAAGAGGTCATCAAAGGCTAATCGACACAAGGCAGTTATTGTTTCGTTTCAGCATCGATTAATTGATTCCCGAAAGAAAAGGCAAAATAACTAGCATATCATATATCGGTTTTACCTCGTGCATCATAAAGAACATCAGCCCCAAGAATAATTTTCGGGAGTAAACTAAATATGGATTCATCCCAACTTCCCCATGTTAGTCCTAATACCTAGAAACAAAACTTAAATCCATGAAAATCGATTCGCAAGGCTGATTAAGTAACAGTGTATCCAAGCAATCAACATAAAATCATTTTTATCGAAGAAACTCACTTCACACTTCAATTTGTTTAGTTCACAGACTGTTCTCATGTTTTCCAACACCTGTATTCATATCAAACAGAACATGTACACAGTACATACAAAAGTATCAGTTGCAGTCGTAAAAATCAGTTTAAGCAAAAACAAAATTAGGCCGATAAAAAGATATAATCAAAACAATAATTTCCACCAAAGTAATTAATTTTGGATAAAATCATCAAATTTCAACTAAAAGACACTGCATCAATCCAGGTAAGCAAGTTCCCGCTCCAAGCTGCAAAAGAAACAAATAGCAAAATTTGAGAGACAGTTAAGCTACATTTTAAATTTATTTGTGAGAAATACCTCGACTACATCGTTCCCAGAAAAGCGAGATCTCTGTTGCCAAACATACTCGGCCAATACGATGCTACAAGGCCAAACGAATAAGCCATAGTCTTCTTTCATGTTCTGAGCATCATGGAAATGAAAATTACACCCAAATCCTTAAAGTTTTTACCCTTTTCCCCCTTTCAGTGTGTTTTGTGAATTAAAAATAATAATACCTCAATGATCGATGCGGAGAAGGTGGTTTTTTCAGAGTCGCCGAAAAAATGACGACTTATCGTCTTCATTTGTTGATGAGCCACCGAAAAGATAATACTTCTTTTGTTGGGTCGATCAATTTGTTAGACTTGAAGGGGAAGGGAAAAGAAAACTCCAGTTTTGATTTAATTAGGGTTTGATATGACGGCAAATATCAACACGGCTAATTCCAATATCTCTATTGCAGTCTTGTAGAGAATATCAATGCTAGGCTCGATGAGTCTTTTAAACAAATCTCAAATAGTAGAAGTTAATAGTCCGGGATGGAGTTGGGGTAGTTGTCGAATTGGCGCGCCCCTGCAGCGCGTTTAACGTTGATTTGGCGCCATGTAGGGTAAGGCGTCCCATGAAGCGCGCCTTATGCTGACATGAGATACACGTGTGTATAGCGCGGCCCCTAGGGTGCGCCTTAGGCCACGTAAGGTATAGCGCGGGACAGGGGTCGCGCCTTACCGTTAATATAATTATGTTAGGAGCGGACCAGGGGCTGCGTCTTAGCTTTATCTAATATAATTATGTAAGGCGCGGTGCAGGTACCGCGTCTTGTAGCTCTTCCCAGTTATAAATACCATTTCCCCACGGTAACTCCTCACATCTCCTTTATTAGGCGCGGACCCTGGGGTGCGCCTTAGGCCACGTAGGATATAGCGCGGGGCAGGGGCCGCGCCTTACCGTTAATATAATTATGTCAGGCGCGGACCAGGGGCCGCGCCTTACCGTTCATATTTGATTCAAAAGTTCGTGCGATTTTTCATTATTAGGTATTTTTGTGATAATTTTTTTTATTATACTTATTGTTTATTATGATTATTTGAAAAAGTATTATACTAATTGTTGTGAATTAATTTCTGTGTTTGTAAAATTAGAAAGCGGTAGCATACATCGAAATAGTTTTGCGGTACATGTAATAATATAAAATTATATTATTTAAATTATTTATGTTTATGTGTAAAAATTTTATTGTGTTATATTTTCGTTCATATATTATTTATTTAATTAGCTTTGTTTCAGTTGTTTTTTTTATAGATATAATATTGCCGCACTTTTAAACTCAATGAATGGCGCGACTTTCAGCTATTGTTTATTATGATGGTGAAATTCGAGAAGATGAAGCCGACGTTGTTTCGTATCAAATGAGCGTGTTAAAATATCATTGAAGAGAAACATAACTCTTGAGGAGCTGATAACGAAGATTTCGAGAAAGATTCATGTTGGAAGTAGTAGAAGAATGTCGTTGTTGCAGTACAGATTTCCAACATCATTGTTGCCATTAACTTATCCAGCGTTCGAACTATCGAACAATGATGATTGATTCTCAAAGTAATTATTCATATGGCGATATTGAGATGTATGCAAAGTTTGTTCAAGTGCGTCATGTTCGGGGTTAATCATTAAGCTCCCACTATGGGCTGGCTGAACAAGTTGATCAAGTTGACAGCCCGACGACAGTAATATGTAATGATTTTAATGTCATAATGAGGAGACATTCATCCGCAACTCCTTATGATATGTACCGAGGTGGGTCGACAAACAATCCGTATGGCAGCATCGCATCCAGTTCAAGGGGAAAACATTCATCTGCAAATCCCTTTGACCTTAATATGGAGATGCCATCGACGCAACAGTCTGTTCAGTTTCCATTTGACACGATGGCTTCAAGCTCTAGGGGGCATTCAACTGCGAGCATTTTCGATCTGAATGTCGATATGCCTTCCAGTTCAAGGGGAAGGCGTGCAAGTAGTAGGTTCTTCGACCTAAATGTAGAGAGCATGGAGGAACCATCATCTCCACTAGAAGAACCACTTCGTGAGCCTAGTGCGGATGGTGCTGAGACTAGACTATTCATTCACCCAGAATCACCGCAATTCAACTCCGATGATGATGATGATATGGATGAAGTTCCAACAAATGTGGCACAAACTGACCCTCCATCACACATGTATGAAGCTGATTATGGTGTAATGTATACGCCAGCATTTGCAGATATGCCTCATCTCGGTGACTATGGATATTACTCATCAATAAATAATTATAAGTTATATTTAGGCATGGAGTTTTCAAGCAAAGAAGAAGCGATGATTTCTATAAAAAATTACAATATCCGTAATTCTGTTCAATCGAGAGTCGACCGCTCCACGACAGAAAAATATGTATGCTACTGTGCCCGATGCGAAAACGGATGCAATTGGATGGTTCGCGTATCGAAGAGGAAGAGGAAAAACAACAAATGAGAACTAACAATATACAAAGGTCCTCACACATGTTGTTATGGAGGGGCCAACCAAGATCATCCCAACTTGGACTCGGAAGTGATATGTCAAGCCATCATGCTCATGGTAAAAGCAAACTCTCATATAGCTGTTGCTGTGTTGATTTCAGCTATACAATCGCAGTATGGGTACATTGTCTCCTATAAAAAAGCTTGGTTGGTAAAACAAAATGCCATTGTCAAACTTCATGGCGAATGGGATGCATCTTACAACGAACTTCCAGGCTGGTTTAGACTAGTACGTAGGTTGAATCCTGGGATAATTGTGGACTTCGAAACCTCCTATGCATACCATAATGATCGAGTTCTTCGCGATCGATGCCAATTCTACCGGATTTTTTTGGACTTACCCACAGTGCGTTAATACTGTCAAATACTGCAAACCTATGGTCCAGATCGACGGGACTTTCTTGTATGGAAAATACAAGCATGTTTTATTATTGGCAGTTTTCCAAGATGGCAATCGCAACATTCTTCCAGTTGTTTTTTCTCTTGAAGAAGGAGAAGATACAGATTCTTGGGTTTTTTTCCTCCGAAATTTACGTGCACATGTTATCACGAGGGAAAAAATATGTGTCATTTCAGATCGCGGAGCTGGGATCAAAGCAACAATGGAGTCTTTGGGTCCAATGTGGCAACCACCCTTTTTCCAACATAGGTATTATCTCCGACACATTGCTACGAACTACCATGGAAGATACAAGAAGAATGACGAGCGTCAATTACTTGTGCGCATGGGTAAGTGAAACTGATGTAGTTTTTTTTCTTTCGATCCTTTTGATCTGGTTAGTAAGTTATACATTTTTTGATCAGGTTATGAACTTCTTCCTCGAACGTTTGAATCAATGCGTCAAGATTTACGGGCGAAGAACGAGGAAGGATACGATTACATCAGCCTCATCGATAAAGAAATATGGACGAACGCATATGATGGTGGATATCGATATAGACACATGACGACCAACTTGGCAGAAGCAATCAATTCAACCTTAAAGGGTGCATGTCACTTACCTGTAGAGGCTTTGGTAAAAACTATATATTTTTCATTTGGGGGCGATTTTTGCGAAGCTCGGGGGACAAGCTCAAACCTGGATGCAAGGCGGTCATGTCTATCACCCTAGATTAGTTGCAGATTACAAAAAAAAATTGATGCATCAAATGGAATGTCTGTATCTGACTTCTCTAGAAGGCATGAAATGTTTCGTGTCACAGAGCTGCTACGACATCTTCAAGGGATTGAAGCTTTAAGAGTAAATCTACGGGACTGAACGTGTGACTGTGGATTTTTTCAAACTCTGAAGTATCCATGCTCTCATGTGATAGCAGCTTGCTCGCATATACATCAAGACTATAACCATTTTGTGGATCATGTATACATACTATCTGAAGTTTTTAAGGTATACGAATTTGAGTTCACCCTATAGGTAATGACAAAGACCCTGATAGAGTTCAAGATTGGCTTTCGATTGTACCAAATCCGAGTTTATTGAGGGAGCGTGGTCGTCCAAAATCCAATCGAATTCATTGCGATATGGATATTCAAGAAAGATCTAGATAAGAAATAAGATGTGGGCATTGTAGAAACCCATGACACACTAGAAAAACATGTCCACTTCTGTTGTCATCAAGTAACAATTGATGAGGAAATGATGTAGTTGTTTATCAATTAATAATTATTGTACTTTAATTTGCATTTACTTCAAGTTAATGTTATTCGATAACCGCTGGTGAAGATTAAAAATGATACAATTATACGAGATTGGACGTTGGCGTTATATTAACGAATAACTGATATTAACGATACAATAAGTATTAAATGGTAAATGATAATCAAATTACAATAACTAATATTAAATGGTAATAAACAAAATTAAGCAAAATAAATTAACAAAAAGTCCAACAAATTTAAAAAAATAAATTAAAATAAATCCAACCATATTAACGAATTAAAGTAAGTATTAAATGATAAATAAAAAAATTACAATAAAAAAGTCCAATAAACAACTACAATAAAAAGTACTAAATACAAATATAATAAAAAAACAAAATCTATTGATGCCTGCGACGCGAATGTGTTCCACAGGGCGGTGGCTGTCAGTCTCGAGGAGGATTTCTTCGTATCACTGGTTGTGACTCCTCGCTGTCATCATCATCACCATCATCATCGTCGTCGTCGTCGTCTTGAGTAGCTAAATTTTGTTGATGAGGAGCTGATGATGATGAAGCACCTCCATAGAATAAGGACCCTAGAGATGTATGACTGACTATCCCACCGGCCTGCGAAAACTGGGAAAACTCATAAAACCCAGACATCGTTGAGTGTGAAAACTGTACAGGAGGTATCTGTGCTGCGGCCATGGGTGATGAGGATGAACCCGCCAAATATTCAGCATATGAACCCCAAGTCAGATATGCAAATATAGACCCATAATAGCCTCCAGGAGGGGTCATAAAACTCTGTGAAGGTGGAGGCGGCGGGGTCATAAAACCATGTGAAGGCGGGCAGCATCTGGTAATGGAAAGGTGGTAACGGTATCATATATGGTTGCAGTATATAAGTCACTACAGATGGTGACTGCTGTGAAGGTCCTGCTGGTGCAGCTGAGGATGAACCGGAAGCACCTGCTCTCCGTCCACGAGTCGGGGGACGATGGTACTGTGTCGATGAACGTCTCTGTCGACGTCGTGGAAAAGTCCGCCCTCGTACATCCTCGGGAAACATAAATGGATTCTCATTTCTGTTGAACCACTCATAATAATCATCACCAACCGTCAAGTCATCAACATAAATGGGCTATCTACGGGGAAGGCACCGATGTCGATCCTCCCACAACACGACCCACTCATGATGCCTCACCAGCCAATCTGTATCGATCTTGCCGCGTCTATATGTGCTATTCAACTCGTCTATA